CTCCAGGAGGCCGAGGAGGGAGGATGGCAAGTTTGAGCCTAGCCCGGACCACTTATCAGCTTATCACCCTGTCTCAAAATAAAAATTCTAAAAAGGTCTTGGGATGTAGCTCAGTGTGAAGGCCTTGGGTTCATTTAGTACAGGGGGTTGGAGGAGGGGACTGGGACCAAAGAACTGGACAAATGAATCCACTTGGTAATGTATTTGCCTTGACCCTCCTTTCACACACCCTAAATTCTGGCCAAATACCAAAAAGCTATGCAAATTACCTGCATAAGTATTATCAGCTTCTAACATAAATGCTGTGATTTATAAACTTTTCTATAAATTAGAAATGTTAGTCGGAAAAGACCTGCTTATAGTTCTCAATTTCTATCTGTGGTGAACCAGAAAGTAAACACATCTGTTACTCAAAACACTATGGACACCTTGATCTGGAAGCCCCCCTCCTCCGCTAACTAGAAGAGTACGATGGACCACACTTGCTGTTACAACTAGCTTTTGCTTTAACTGGAGGAAGACTATGGCAACTCTAATTTAGTGCTGTTGTTGTTTTTGTTCCTTTTGGTCTTTCTGAGACAGGGTCTTGTTATGCAGTTCAGGCTGGCGTTGAGCTCACTCTTTAGCCCAGGCTGATCTCCAACTTGCAGTGATCCTCCTGCCTCAGCCTCCTGAGTGCTGGGATTACAGGCGTGCGTCACCATGCCTGGTTGTTGTTCTCACCTTTATTCTAAGTCACACTTAATTTTACATTCAAACTCCAATGCAATCCCACCAAGGAGGCAATTATGAAAGTTGACTGAGTAGAGCTGCTGGAACTCTCATATACTGCTAGTACACACAAACAACTATAGCACTGTCTCCGGACGTGAACATCTGCATATCCTGTACCTAAGCCTAGGCACACTTTTGCTTCCCTTTCTTAGGGACACAATGGAAAAGTACATGCATGTCTACATGTGGATATGCTCGGGCAAGTCCATGCTGCACCAGCTACTGACAGGAAGGAAAGCCTGGAATGAGTTGAGTGTTCGGCAATGGGCAAGTGAACCGGCAGCAGCAGGTACAACTGCACAGCGGACTGGGGCACAGCAGAGAACGGACTGTGCACAGCCATGCACGACAACAGGCACACACTTCACAGACAAGCACAAAGGGCTACGGTCCCTGTGACACTCAGAACGAGCCCAAAGCCACGGAGCCGCAGTCGGGAGAGCGGCACCTCGGAGGTACTGGGTGGGGCTCCGAGTGCAGTGACACCAGCAGAGTCTCTGTTAGAACTCACCGAGAAGTACGGAGGATTTGTACATTTTCCATCTCAGTAACAATTACGAAAATGCCTTGTCATAGATTTTAAAAAGCAACAAACAAATCTTATCTTGCATTGAATGGTCTTTCCCTTACAAACTTGCTATAGAAAAGCCTATTTTGGTGAGAACATAAAAAGAAAAATGACCTATTTTTCTCTGAAAGCCTATTTTTATCAGCGTTTGCTGGCACCGCCTCACTAGGAGAAGCGCTGTGCCTGAGCTGGCTGCGAAGCACCCCAGCCGTTGCTGTCACAGGAGGCAGCACAGGGGCACTGGCCTCACTCAGGGTCAGATGGTGCTCAGTGGGAACCTGGCCGCAGCAGGCGGCAAGGTGACACAGGCTCACCACGCCACACAGCAGGACTTGGCGTGCAGAGGGGCAGGAGGAGCGTGAGACGCGAGACAAGGTGGGCGAGGAGTGAGGCACGCCGACAGCTCTTCTTCCCAGGACGTAAGTAGGGGACCCATGCGCACCGTGCGGCCCTTCTCCTCCCATCTACACGGAGCTGGACGGCCACAGAAGCGCCCTGGGCACACTGCTGTTGATACAATGCTTTAACAGAACCAAATACCAAGCGGCCACAGTGAGTGTCCCCTTAAATGTTTGTCCTTGAATTTTTGGAAGATTTTTACTTTTTGGCTTTTATTTTCCATTTATCTGATGAAGCGGGGTATCTCACTATGTTGCCCAGAGGTGCCTGGCTTAGAAACTAAATTTTAAATAATTACCGTTTCTGAAAAATTAATCTGTGACCAGCATTTTGTTAAGCATCTGTATCTTCTGACAGATTAACTCTGGAGAAAATCTGTACACCAATCAGGTGGACAGAGAGAGGAACTGAGGAAAATGTCTTCTGAGAGCATGTTAGTATCTAGGACCATCTCCATACACGTCACTCAGATCAAGTGGTAGGGTCTAACGGAGCCAGTAAATTCCACACTTGCAATTTAATAGGTGTGTATGTAGCCAGCAACACACCTGTAATCCCAGTATTAGGGAGGCTGAGGCAGGAAGGCTGCTATTTCTATGACAGTATTTACTTATTTATTTGAGACAGGGTTTATGTTGTCCAATCTTGTCTCATTGGTTTTGAATTTGTGAGATCAAACAATCCCCTCCCTTCAGCCTCCTGAGCAGCTAGGACTACAGGCATGCAGCCCAGTACTCTGCTGCCATGAGGGGATTTATTTTTTTTTTTTTCATGAGAGGATTTAGACATCTGTTCTTTGGGGAAGTCAAACCAACTGCTCCTATCATGTTGGGATCTTCTCAGACTCCCAAGAGCTCCTCTATATTTTAGCTTGGCTCTGCAGACATTGGCCAGAGTACGTGCATCCCACTCCAGTAAGCACAAACATTGGCTCTGGGGAAGCACTTACACGTTATACAGAATACCAAATCTTAAAATTCTTATAAGATGATCATCGCCAGAACAATATAATACATAGGACACACTCTTATGTACTGACTTTTTTAATTGTCTAGGGACTGCACCTAGGAACTTTGCAGTTATACTCTCAACACTTTTTTAAAAAATTTGACACATGGTCTAAGTCCTTAAACTGCCCAGGTTGGGTCTGAACTTGTGATCCTCCTGCCTCAGCCTCTCAAAGGACTTGGATTACAGGGGTGTACCACTACACCCAGTCAGTACTACTTTCTAAAAAGGAAACAGATGTGGTGTGAAAAGGAGTGGAATTAAAAGTGCATTTTAGCTAGGCATGGTGGAATGCGCCTAAAATCTCAGCATTCAGGAGGCTGAGGAAGAGGGTTGAGTTTGAAGCCAGCCTGAACTACACAGCAAGGTTTTGTCTCAAAAAGAAACAAATAGGCCTAGTAGGTAATACCAGCTATCGGCAGGCTGAGACAGCAGGATCGCAGCAAGTTCACGGCCAGCCTGGGCTATAAAGTGAGTTCATGGGCAGTCTGAACTATGTAAGGAGACCCTGACTCAAAAAAAAAAAAAAACAAAAAACCAAAACAACATACATTTTAGGATTTCATGCTGCTAGCAGTTATGATGGGAAAACTGAGTCCAACATTCATGACATGTTGAAGATAGACCAGTGTGAGTATTAAGAATAACGCTGGTGGCTGTGGTGGCGCAAGTCTGTAATCCTAGGTACTCAGGAGGTTGAAGCAGAAGGATGGCAAGTTTGAGCCCAGCCCTGGCAACTTACCCAAGACACTGTCTCAAAATGAAAATAAAAAAGGCTGGGTGTGTGGCTAGGTTGTAGAGTGCTTGCCTAGGCATGAGGAGCTGGGTCACCATCTAGTACAGGGAGGGAAGTATAATGCTCATAATGGATCAAAACACACAAAAATATCTGATTTCTTAATACTACAAACACAGAAAACAAAATCTGGGCAGTAGCAATGCATCATGGAGATAACTGATAAAAAGAATGGAGGAAGCGTTTATCTAGTCTTCTTTCAGCTTTCACGATTACAACAGGATTAAGGAAGTTTTCTTTCTTCTGCTCGGGCTTGCTCATGCTCTTGTGCATGCCCCTCCCTCCCTCTGAAGACAAGAGTCTCATTATGCAGCCCAGGCTGGCCTTGAATTCGTGGTAATCCTCCTGCCTCAGCCTACCAGGTGACAGGTCTACAAGTATGCACCACCACCACTGCACCTGGCCTGGTTTTTACTTTTCAATAAAGAATCACTTCTGTAAGTACAAGAAATCGTAAACACAGACAGCTAACCATTCACCATTCAATGAAGTAACTGCTCTATGGAGGGATTCTCAAGGGCAGGTACACCCAGAGCAGATTTGCTGTGGGTCGTGTAACGGATGGGTCAGACTGACTACTGTCCATCTTCCTGTCCCAAAAGGAGGCAGCCGTCACTATGAAAATACCTGCCCTCAAAGCACGATCATGAACCTGAAAATCCTCCACGGACAGAAGGAAGGACAGTGACAACACCACGCACCCTAAATGTGTGATCATGTATGGCCACAGGGTAGAAAATCCTACTTTCTTCAACACGAAAGTGGCCTTAAAAAAGGAAGATGAATTCTTGTACATTAAGAGACTAAAGAAACATAAATCTAACATATGGATCTTATCTGAATACTGATTCAAACAAAGTTCAAAATTTTTAATGACATTTGGAATTATGGTTACTTCTGTTTGGTAACCATGATGATAGGTACATTAAAGAACAAGATTTTACCGGATCTAGCTCCCTCCTCAAAGCAAGGAGGAACAGATAAAAACATACAGTAACAATGTCGAGGGCTGGGGATGTAGCTCAGTGGTAGAGTACTTGCCTACAATAGCCAAGGCCCTGGGTTCCATCATTAGCACCACAAAGAAAGACAAGGGGTGGGGCTCATTCTGAAGCTCTGCAACAATATGAGGATTGTGATATTCTGCTCTCTGCTTTGTCTATAACTGAAGATTTCTATAATGAAGTTAAAAATGTCACAAAGATGATGATCGTTGAAGCCGGATCCTGACAGTTTCCTGCAGTACTCTTTCATTCAGAGGCTGACTGACCCGAGGAGAAAACATCCATCCAAGAGAACTACAGTAAAGGAACGCGGAAGGCTTCACGTGTCGCTAGAACCAAATCTGGCTTGTCTATTCCCAGACAACAGAGTGCTGCACAGACTCATCACAGCCACCACCGGTGAGGGTCACCGCTCTGCTACCCCATGCCATGATGGCCACCATCCTCTCACCTGGCTGGGCTGGGTGAGGCGGTGGCATCTGGTGGTGCATCAGAGGGTAGGGAGGCGGCTGCTGATGGGGCATCATGCCCGGGTGGCCGGCTGCTCCAGGCGGGGCCAGGCCAGGGCCCCCTGCGTGCTGATGTGCAGGGTTCTGGCCGTGCTGCTGCTGTTCCATTTGCTGTCGGGCACGTAACTCGGCATATTTCAGCTGCTCCATGTGGAAGTTCTGTCGTTCAGTAAGCAACTGCTGCCTCTGCTGTTCTAACTGTACGAAGAAAAGAGAAATGACACGGGGAGAAACCTTAGGCCTGGATGACACACAGCACGGACATCTACCAGTGCCTGAACTCCCTCCACTTCCCCAGAGACACAGCCACCTGGCCTCCAGCAACACGTGCACTGAAAAAAATGGCGTTTTCTTTCTTTCCGTTTCTCTGAGACAGGGGCCTACTACATAGCTCAGGCTGCCCAGCCTCCAGAGGGCTGGGATTATAGGTGTGTGTCACCACATCCAGCAAGGTGCAGTTTCTTGAGTAGCGTATTGTACCTGGACCCATGTTCCTGCTGTCAGGGTCTTGTCCGTGTTAAATTTAAGACCTATCTATCCTTCCTTGTGACCTTATGCTAGTGAAGCTACAGCTCTCTGGGCCCACTCAGGATATATGTTATCCTCTCTCAGGTGGGGGCCCCTGCGTGCTGATGAATTTTAAAAATTTTGTTTATTCATTTATTTGAGACAGGGTCTTACCATACAGCCCAATCTGGCCTCAAATTCCTGGTTTCAATGATCTTGTTTCAGCACTCCCAGCAGCTGGACTCCCTGTGAGAACCACTGAGTAGGCCTTTGGATACAGTATGTAAAAACACCTTCCCTGACTACCTGTGACCTGCCCCGGTAAAACAAGCCCCTCCTGTCCTTTTACTGGTTTGTCAGATGCTCCAGAGTCCACCCAACATCCCCAAGCGCTCTCTTCTGGGCGCGGTCCTTTTGGTTACTGCCTACTGTAGAACACAACAGCAGAGATAAATCCTGAGCTGACACGGCCTTAGCTGTGAAGATGCATTTCTCTATGCAGGACTTTCTCAGTGTCACTGTAAATCTTAGCTCTAAGTAGCCAAAATTATACTGGGTGACACATTCAGAGTATTTTAGTTGCCTAAATAAAAATGTGCAGGCATCTTGAAGTATTTTAAGTATTTCAATATTCAAAATAAATCTGGGACTTAAAGAGAAATAACATATATGCAGGAAATTCAGAAACTATACTCCTAGTAACAGGTAAGCTAATAGAGCCCACTGGAAGTTAATTTAACACAAGTTTGACAAAGAAAACCAACTTTAACATATAGCGAAGTGAAAACTTTTATCTGTGAAAGTAAGCAGCACAGTAACTGTACGCAGAAGGTTAGAGGCCTGTTTCTCTACAGCGTCATGGTAACGTCCCCTCCCCTCATCTCCACGGTGAGACCTGCCCCTTGGGGTCCTTGTGCTGCATGGCCCCATGCAGCAGTCATCACCACAGCCAGCTATAGAGCACTTGATTGTTTGTTTGTTTGTTTGTTTGGTTTTTCTCCGGTACCGGGAACCGAACTCACGACCTTGCGCATGCCAGGCAGGCGCTTTTGCCGCTGAGCTAAATCCCCAGCCCCTTATAGAGCACTTGAAATGAGGTATGCTCTCAGAACACAGGACACACCAAAATTTGAAAAAACCTTAAGTCTACTGAATTAACCTATTTTTTTTTTTTTGGCCTTTTTTGAGACAGGGTCTTGCTATGCAGTTCAGGCTGGCATTGAGCTCACTTTGTAGCCTAGGCTGGTCTTGAACTCAAAATGATCCTCCCGCCTCATCCTCCCGAGTGCCAGGATTACAGGTGTGCGCCATCACTCCCAGCTATTTTGTTTTTAAATTTTAAAATATGTCTGCTGGAAACATTTTAATTACATGCGTGGCTCATAAATTTTATTTCTGTTGAGCTGCACTATTCCCATGCATTTATTAGGCGGGGGAAAAGTTAACATTTTAGCTTTTGGAAGCAGCCAGTTCTGTGAATAAATGCTATATGCTATAATTAGCAAAACTAGATGGAGTAAGCCTGAGAATTAGCCTAAGAATCTGGGCTCTTGGCAGAGAGCAGCCTGGGAAGAAGCCAGTGGGGCACCAAAGGAAAAGCACTGCTGGTCAGCAGGGGCACTAGGAAGGGAAGTCTTGGGATAGGTAGGGCATGTCACAGCACAGAAACAAGCCTGCACAGGTGCGGGGGAAGGCAGATGGAGGGGAAGGTTAAAGCACAGGCCCAGGGTTTTGGCTAGCTGGCTTACAGAGTGAGGAAGGGTCCCATCACCGCAGTCCCCCAAATGCTGGTGTGGTGCTTCGTTTTTTAGGGAGGGTGAGAGGAGGAGGGTATGTCTGGCCAGGTGCAGGGAGATGTAAGATGCAGATAACAAGAGCATTCTCTGGAAGCCTAGTTCTGCAGGAAAACTGATCAGTGAGATGATGTTTAAGAGGCAATGATTTAAAAAGGTATCTAAAGGTTTTGACTATAAATTTTTGGTTTTGCTTTCTTATAACCACTCTTTCTAGGAAATGTTCAACTGTATGATAATTTGCTGAGGTTAGGCTTAAGAAGCCGCCATAAATGGACCTCTTATCTACGTTCTGGTTGAGTCACCACTAGCCTAGACAACTTGGCTCAAGCTTTATAGTTATGTAAGAACTACAGAAGTAAGGTCATGATCTGCCTTAGAAAGCACTTGAATTGCTACTAGAGAGATTTTTCCTTCCTTTTTCTTCTGGAGACAGGGTCTCACAATGTAGTTCAGGCTGGCTTTGAACTCACTCTGTAGTCCCGGCTGCCCTCCAACTTGTGGCAATTCTGTCTCAGCTTCTGCAGTGTTGGCATCACAGACATGTGCTTCCATGCCTGGCCACGCAGAGATTTTTCTTTCTCCACGCTAGCATTTATTTGGGGACTAACTTCCCCATCTTGCAAAGAATAGAATCTTTTTCATTGGGGGGGGAGTAACCAGGAATCAAACTCAGGACCCTGAGCTTGCCAGGCAGGTGCTATGCCACTAAGCAATACACCTGGCCCTAGGACCTTTTTTTTTTTTCCTTTTCCTTTTTCTTTTTGAGACAGTGTCTCCTTATGTAGTTCAGGCTAGCCTTGAGCTCACTTTGTAGCCCACGCTGGTCTCAAACTTGCAACGATTCTCCTGCCTCAGCCTCCCAAATGCTGGGATTACAGGCGTGCGCCACCACGCCCGGCTTAGAATCTATTATTAAGAGGATAGGTTAGCTGGGTGTAGTGGTGCATTTCTATCATCCTAGCATTTGGGAGCCTGAAGTAGGAAGGTTAAAAATTTGAGACCAGCCTGGGCTGCACAGCAAGACCCTGTCAAGCGAGTGGTAGTGGTGGTGGTGGTGGTAATGCAACAATGGGGAGGGAAGAAAACTTGCGCACGTTTGCTATGTGAACTAACCTCAATTACCCTATTTATTTCTGAGCTTCACCTGTGATTTTAAAAAGTAATTAAAAGAAAATAATTAGAAGAATTAAAAAGGATTTAACATACACACACTTGAGAGCAAACCCATTTAAGCTAAAGCTTCAATACAGGAGTAACAAGTCCCCTGAGGTAAGGGTGACCTGCCGGCTCCTGGAGGCCCTCCCGCCAGAGGCACAGCCGTGGCTGTGGGAGGGAGCGCCCCTGTTGGGCCACTCACCTCATCTGTACTGAATGTCGCTGAAGATCATGTTCACTGCTGTGGCCATTAGAAAGAGTATGAACTAGAGTATTTGGGCAAAATCTGGCAGTACTCTGTGTATTTTACACACATCTGGAGATGTGTCCTGGGTGTGCATAAGGAAAGTCACTAAGGTATTACCTTTCGTGTATCATCTCAGATTCACTGAGCAGTAGAGAAAAGCAAGTTGCAAAAGAAATACAATCCCTAATATATAAAAATGTGATCATGTGTAAACACATCTATACCCACACTGAAAATGTTCCAGGTGACACGAAACTAATAGGAATTATCCCTAGGAATGAAACCAAGGGTAGGAAAGACCTTTTAATTTACTGTCTGAAAGAAAATTTTTTCCTCTAGTACCAGGGCTTGAATCTAGAGCCTTGTCCTCACTAGCTAAGCACTATATCACTGGGCTACCTCACAGGTGTTTTGTTTTGTTTTGTGTTTTATTTTGTAAGGACACGGACTTGCTAAATTGCCCAGCTTAGCTTCAAACTCCCCATTTTCTGTCTCAGCTTCCCGAGTAGCTAGGATTACAAGTGTGTACCACTGTGCCTAGCTTACTACCTGAAAATTTTAACAAGTCACACATATTTTTGTAATGAAAAGAAACACTAAAAATGCCCCAAGTCATGAGTCACAGACATCTTGATTTTATTGTGTCTTCTCCATTTCCTAGGACTATGGAGTCTCAAAAGCTACCATGAATAGCGCGAATTATTCATGTAAATAGGGTGTCAGCAACCCATTAACCTTCTTCATGACTCCGATCTGGCTCTAGAACCAGTTTTGCAGGAGGCTTCCTCTTCCTCTTTGCTCCACCTTCGGTACCCGCCCACTTCATTTCCATGGCTGTCACCCTGGCCACAGTCCCTATCTCACACGGGCCGCCCGAACAGCCACCTCTCCAGACTCCCCCATTTGACCCTGCCAGCTTGTGAGGTTCTCTGCACCACGGAGTAGACAGACTCATCTGCTGAACAGTAACGAAGGTCACTCCGGTCCCCAGGGCCCAGCAGGCGTTCTGCATTTCTTTCTCTTTTGCATGGCCGGGGGTGGGTGCTGGTGACTGAACCCAGGGCATCATCACACAGGCCAAGCCAGGCTCTACCCCTGAGCTACAACGCAGCTCCACATTTCAATCAGAGTAAAGGAAAGGCCTCAATGGCTCACAGGGACTTCCATGAGGTGGTCACCTCTGTTTCTCTCACTTGATCCTCCTAACTCCCCGGCCTCCTTTACGCTTCAGCTCATCTCACTATGTAAGTGATGGTAAACCTTTCAAAGTGGTGTGTAATAGCCGCTGCAGCATGCATGCTACGGGTTGGCCACCACTGCCTCATGCCCTAGTTCCCTGACGGATCAGTTGTGCTCCCATCCCAGACCTCTGCAGTGGCTGTGTCTGACCTTCACCTACCAAGTGTGGTGTCAGTTTCTGAATAATAGTTACTCTGATGGCACCTCTTAAACCTGATGTCCCTCCTGTGCCATCCCCAACCTCCGGCCAACAACATGCTCACACGTGTATCTATAAGTATGTATGTGTACATGCACGTTCAAAGCACGTAACACTTTACGGCTTCCTTAACTTGCTCATTATTCCTAAGTTCCAACAAGGCACAGAGTTTTGTTGAGCTTTTTTTTTTTGGTACTGGGAATCGAACTCAGGAACTTGCACTCGCCAGACAGGCCACCTGTGCCGCTGAGCTATATCCCCGGCTCTTTGTTGAGCTTTATGCACCACTTTAAGCCTTGTACTTACATGTCAGAAATGTAAGCATTCAATGAATGGACAGAAGACTTCAGCCATCATCTCAACTGCAAAAGCCATCATGGGCAGGATGACTCTTCATTCTCCTAAGCAATCATGTGTTTCTCTTTGAATTTCAGGATTTGGGCCATTCTTACAATGAGATCAATGCCTCCCCCCAGAAGCTCTCCTTGATAATCCAAGCTGACTAGGAACCCACGCCCTCCTCCTCCTCCGAACTTTTATTGCCCAGTACCTCATAGTATTTGGTCTCTTTATGTGCTGATGCCTCACCCACCCTCTACCTTCCTTAAGCAGGGGTCTGAGTTTCTCAAACTTCGCGTTTCCTTCAGTGTCTCTCCTCTTTTAGAAGATGCCGAATTTCCACTCCCAGCCAAATCTCAGAAGGCATTTAGTCCGGAAGTGAATTCTCACTGACCTCAAAGTGGTTTTTGTTTTCTTTAAACCACTCAAATGTGCATGACTTGGGGAAGGCCCTTGTACTTCATTCCTTCCACACAGCTCTAATACCCAGCACAACCCACGTCTGAAGCCTGCTCCTTGACTATATGTCCTGTGAGCCTGGTGCCAGAGACAGGTGCCAGCTGGGCACCCTCCCTTGACCTGGAGTTGATACCTTTCGTTGTGCTGCCCCTTTGACAGGCTCTGAAGCTTCCATAGCTGCGCCCCTCTGCAGCCTATACTACTCAAGAACCTGGATAATGGTTCCCGCGCACTCATCACAGGCGAACTCGTATGCCTATGGAAGATTCAAACTTTTACAACTCCCCCCGACCCCAGTACTCAGGATTAAACACAGGCTCTTTGCACTGGGCTAAATCCCATGCCTTTTCAGACAGGGTCTCTCTAAAATGCCCAGGCTGGGACTCCAACTTGCAATTCCCCTGCTGCTGCTCCAAAGTTGGGATTACAGGTGTGTGATTGCCTGGCTCCAGCTTACAGCCTCATTCTTAATTACTAAATACTTAAGACTAAAGAGAATATTTGAATTTCAGTCGTTAGAGAACAAAAAAAAAACTTCATATCTGATTCTGTAAGAATCAGATTCAGTATCTGATTCAGTAAGAGAAGCAAATGTTTACTTTAAATACAGCTGCCCTGAAACTCTGTACGCTCCCCGGGGTAAAGGCTGAGCGAGAATGTACTTTAAGGTGAAGCAGGAGTGTGTGGCCGGCGCAGGGGAATTAGGTGGCGAGCTAGGAGGCTCGACAGCCAGCTAACCTGTCCTTTCCGAAGTAACTGCCTGACAGACACACAAGAGAAGGAGGGACAGAACCCTCCACGGGCTAAAATGCGAGAGCAACAGCTACTGTGTGAGATACAGTGATAAAGATGGGTTTGAGAGCTGGCTGTGTCACTCACGGCCTGTGTGATGGAAGGGCCAGGCTGTACCTGTCCAGGCTCCGACAGCATCAGCAAGAAGGGCTAACAAAGGAATGGCCTATGTTTTTCACCCAATGTCACTGCTGGATTCTTGTACAGAACATTAGAAGTAATCAGTGTTTTCTTGCTTATGGTTTCCTCACATAATTTTTGGCAACTAAATCTGGAAACCTATAAAAATGCTTTAGTACAGTCAGTGATCTAATGTATGTTCAAAAAGCCACGAGCGGCTTATAAATATTGAACACTTCACATGCAGCTGTTGCACTGGCTTGCACACATACTTACTGAACACTAAATGTCCCAAACACTGCACCAGCGCAGGCTGCATTTCACTCACTTCATCCTCACAACAGTGTGTGTGGAAATCCTCAAGGGAAAACAGTCACGGCTTTCTCGGCCACAAAGGACAGCTCACTCCTACCACACAGTAGGTCACGCCTTACTTGTGCATGAAAGGAATGGGTCACATTCTGAAGGTCAGAGATCATCTGGGAGTTGAAGAGTCAGTCTTCAAGCCGGCCTCCAGCAGCACCATGTGCTGACCCTACCTACCACTCTGGGAGCCAGGCCTGGTCTGTGTGACTGAGACGACACAACAGCAGTGGGATGTGACCTCCAAGTTCAGCTGCTATGCGATGGTGTGGCTTGACTTTTGGGTGCTTTTTTACACTCCTGCTCTTTGACTCATTTACTCAGAAACCATGTGATAATGTGTGCCTTTTGTTCTCAGCACTAAGCACTGTGGTAACTTTCACATAGCTGTAAGTAATTAATACTGTTGAGCTACTGGCGTTTATTGGGCAGGACTAGGGACTATCCTCTACACAGTTTTTCTGCCATAACTGAAGTTGATACTAAATGCTGTAAGAAAATGAAGGCAGACCATCAAAGAATTCAAGCAGAGCGGCCTTGTACGTTCGGTATTTGGTGTTTTCCCATTTTCATTTGTGGTATTTATTCAGAAACTACCTTGTAAAATATTTTGCATGTGCTGCTAGAATTGAATACTTTAAAAAAAAAAAAAAAAGACGACAAGGCCAACTGTGGGAGTGCTTAACTACACTCCCAGTCACTCAGAAGGCTAAAGCTGGAGGGTCACTTGAGCCCAGGGGTGTTTTATTTTGGAAACAGGGTCTCACCATGAAGTCTAGACTGGTCTCAAATTCATTACATAGCCCAAGTCGGCCTCAAACTCATGATCCTCCTGTGTAAGCCTCCCAACTACTGGGATTAAAGGGTAGGAGTTTGAGGCTACAGTACCCAGAGCATATCCAGCTGATCTCGAGACTGAATAAAAATGGACCATGGTGAGTTACTGGAGTGCTACAGGAAGAACAGGGCAGAAGACTTGGGTGGACTGACCACTATGAAACTGAGCAATGTAAACACATCATAAAGTGGCCACTCTTACAGATTATTCTTGGGGTTCTATTAAAAAAGCTTTAATGAGAAGATTCTTACTCTTCTAACTCACAGTTCATCCTACCCTTAGAGAGAGAGGTCCCACGAATACAGAGGACTACCCGAGTCCAGGTTCCTTTTCAGTGGCAGATACTCAACAATGCAAAGAATGGTTAGACCGACTTTTAGAAGATCCTGGTAGGATTCAGATGCGTTTTATACTTTGACTCTTGCTTTTGACCCACTGTAGTAAGACGTCAAATGTGTCTTGGTCACTTGCTGTACCCTAGAACCCTATGACCCAACTGCTGGACATGGCCTTTTCTGTGTTCAACAACTGGGATCTAGATACGGGTGAAAGGAGAGGGACTGAAAAAAACAGGGCCAAATTATGGCCGATGCAATTGGCAATGCTTTAAGCATGCCCTAGTAGTCCAAAGGAAAACCTAAGCCCTATCAGGGAAAGAGTTCTTGCCTTAAATGCAAGGCAACTGGACCCCGGGACACAAGTGACCAAGCCAATGTCTTGACCCTGCTGTGTGTGTTACGCAGCCAATATGCCTGACTCGTGGCACTGGACAACCGACTGTACCTGCTCTCAAAAGTGGGGGCAGGAGAGCCAAAACCCTCACCACCTGCTCTGATAAAGAAGATGGAGGGGCTCTGCAGTGCCCCTGTCCACAGCCATCTCCACCTTCTGTGAAGAACCCCAGTGACCCAGGATGTCATGGGATAAAGCCAACCCCACCTGAACTCTCTGAGGAAAAAGACCACCCAAAAGAAGAAAGCTACTCCTGTGAACCTCCGTTAGACCTGAGGCTCTTCAAAAAACAAGACTCCAGTACAGCGCCAGGTGTTATTTGCTTTTTCACTTTTTTCAACCTAGGCAGTGAGCCACAATAGCCCAAGATAGTTGGAGAGAACATAATCACCAATAAATAGGGCCTATGGCTCCTTTCAGCCGGAAGCAGGCATGTGAAGCTAAGAGGCCCCCACATCCTCAGCAACCCCGGAAGAATTAAGGGATTTATGTTTCTCAGTGGGGAAACGATGCAGGACATTAGGGCATGGCTGGTAGGCTGTGCAAATGGGTATGAACTCCTAATCATGGAGACCCAGGATACATGCCCAGAAAAAGAATTTCCAAACCCAGTACCTGGTACCAAATCAGAAAGTGCTACCTTCAGTTTCTCGATCTGGCCTGAAATCAAGTAGGTTTTTGAGAGGATGACCCACACCTGATGTCACGATGGGGGTAACAAAGATGGCACTCATCAACCCTGAGGCCCCTCTAAGCTCTTTCGGGAACTTGCTCTCTCCTTGCAGAGTGTATTTCTTTTCCTATGTTAATCGGCCTGGACTCACTCTGCAGAACATATTTCTTTTCCCACCTTTAACAAATATAAAGCCTTGCTACCTTAAAAAAAAAAAAAAAAAAAAAAAAAACAGTTCCTTTTCTTCATAATCACTGGGTGATAATCCTTTGGAAAAGACAAATCAGACAAAATAACAGAAGAGCTACAGAGACTCATGGAGTAGGCCACCATTTTTATTATCTAACTTGCCTTTCTCAACAGTGGCCAGGTTTTTTTCATACCAGGAATTGAACTCAGGCTCTTGAGCCTGCCATGCAGGCGCTGTGCTGCTGAGCTATAGCCCTGGCCAGGCCAGGTTTTAATTGTTAAAGTACCACAGTGCAATCCCCCTTACTTACAGCCTCTTTCTCTCTGTCCATGATAGTTTCAAGCTCCTCAAAATGTCGAAGTTTAATTTCTAGTTTCTTCATTTGAGTCTCAACCAGCAGGGCTACCAGAGACTTGATCTTTCTCTCTTCCACAGCAGCCAGGTGCTAAGGCAAAAGAACATTCACACTATTTAGGTAAGTAATTGCTTAAAAAACTTAAAATACTCAAGTTGCCATTCAAAGTGGAACTTATGCATGCCAGAATGTACCTTAGATGCCCACTTTGTTTGTTCCTGTCAAACATGTCAATTTAAAAATACCACTGCCCCTAAATTTCTGTACCACTGTCCCTAAATTTCTGGTGATAACTCGACCTTATCCAAGGGTTAAAGGAAATCCCCCTGCAGTAAACTCCTTTCAAGGAGTCTGTTAGGGATGGGAGGGTGAGCTATGACTCTGCTGGGCCAAGGAGGAGGATCTGGAAGCCACACCCTCACCTCTCACCCCTCTGACATCCTGTCCTCCCTCCAAATGTGAGGCCTTTCACTGCTCTGTGGTGAGCATACTGTATGTGGAAAGGACAAAACAGAGCTTCACCCAGACGTGGAGGAACAAGTCCAGACCCACAAAAGCAAACACATGAAAGATGCCCCTCTCTTGCAAAAGCCCCACAGTGAGTCCTACTCATGCCTTGTGCCAGTTAAGCAGGACAAAGGCGGCAGCACCACACTGCCTATATCTGGCCAGGCCCCTGTACTTACAAGGGTCAGTTCTATCTTCTACAGACATCACCTGGCCCTTCCCGGCCACTCCCAACACCATTCTGCGTCCCCTCGCATCACACCCTCAGAACTTCCCTGCCCCCCTTGCTTGTACACGCTGTGTCACGGACAGCACGGAGTGGCTATCGCACTTACTCATCTAACACACAGGAGGAGTTTAATACGAGCTTTCCGGAGCTAAACTGAGACCTAACACTCAGATGAAAACCTTACTTTTCATTTTTCCTTACAGTCGAAAAGGGGAAATGTAGTTTTATGTTTAAGTTACGGTGACCCATCTGCAGGAAGATTCAGAAATAGAAACAGGAGGTAATGATGAGGTTTTATAGCATTTATGATCATGTTTGCCTCCTTAAAGTAGTACGAGTGATACCAAGAACACCAAAGGTTTAAATAAAATAGTATATAATTCTAAGCCTGTCAGCAGTGTACAGTAAAAAAATTTCTATTTTCAAACAATGAACTTATTCATGATGTAATACTGAAGTGCTACAAAAAAGTACAGAGAAAGTCACCTTCTCACTTCTTTAGCCAGCCACCAGCAACCCTTCATTTGAGAGTTTGTAGACCATTTTTATAAAAATTTGATTCCTTGAAATCTGATGGTTTTGGTAGAAAATGTATTTTCCTGAGATTCATAAAGGAATTTGGGGACACCCTCATGTATTACTAAAGAAATAATCCCAAAATATGTCCTCTCAAAACTTCAGATCGGGCTGGGGGTTTAGCTCAGCGGCAAAAGCGCCTGCCTGGCACGCGCAAGGTCGTGAGTTCGGTTCCCGGTACCGGAGAAAAACCAAAAAAAAAAAAAACTTCAGATCACCCCTATTATCCCAGCACACAGGAGGCTGATTCAGGGGAATCATAGGATTGAGGCAGTCTGAACGACACACTTAAGAGACCCTGTCTCAAAAAACAGTAACAAAAACTAGCAGATCACATGTTCTCAAAATGAAAGGGTCATCAATGGAAATTTCACAACACAAGGCAGAAAAAAAATTCTACAAGTTTCTAGATAGGCAAATAGACAAAAAACAGGCTACAAAAAAAATCTGAACTGTATCAGATTCTTAAGAGCAAAACTAGATTTTTGAGGAAAATGGTAAATGCCTTCCCAAGTCTAAAGGATAATGAATTTCAAGCAACTTAAATCAACTAAGAGTAGGGTGGTGAGAAAAAAAAAATCAACTAAGAGTACAGATAAAAACATGTTTGAAGTCAAGGACTCCCAAGACTTTACATGCTACACATGCTACTGGAGGCTGTGTTCTAGTTCTTGTCCAGAAAAACAGAGACCATGGCTCCAGAAGTCACAGACTCAAGCTAAGAATGAAACCGTGAGCTCACAGAGAGTGCACAGCAGCAGGTCAGATGTGAACCAAACCAAAGCAAAACAAGCAAGAGGCTGATAACTAGCAGTGGCTGACAGGTATACAGTGAACTGATTATACTGTTCTATTTCCCTTTATAAACCAATGCTTCCATAATGAAGTCTAAAGGTGCACTGGGATGGGTCAGCAAACGGTGCCAGAACAATGGGACATCAAGTACAAAAGAGTAAGTCTGGATCCATACCTTGCTGGACATGGTGGCACGTATGTATAATCCCAGCACTTGGGAGGCTGAGGCAGGAGGATCACCACAAATCTGAGGGCAGCCTAAGACTCTGTCTCAGGGGGCGGGGGGGGGGACGGGACCTAACACTGAATTTTTAGAACAAAACTCAGCAGTACGAGTGACCCTGGACTTAATCCCTAATACTGGAAAGAAAAAAATGAAGTCAAAATACAACCTAAAGACTGTGAGAAAATATGTACAAATCATGTATCTGAAAGACCTGAATCTCAAACATATAAGGAAGTTCTACAACTCCTGTGTACTACTGATGGAAACCTTGCAGGACTTTGAACATAATGCTAGGAACCACCTCGAGGCACCAGGCAAATTCTGAAGATGCACAGGGTAGAAGGTTACAGTGTTAGGTTTAAGGAAGAACAAAGTTCCTCAACCTCTGACTCCATGACTGCCAAGTTCTCAATCCAAAGTACTAGAAAATCACACCAGAAGAAGTGAGGAGAACAAGGCTGACAAAAGCTCCCATCCAGGTATATCTCAGTTATCCCCCAACACCCCGCTGCTCTCAACATCACAAAGGAAAGTTCAATTGTATATATACACTCTACTCCACCTGGAGCACCAGTATTTTGGTACACACCTAACTATCAACCAAAAACACAAGCCCCAGATAGTATAAACACTGGATTTAGCAAGAATAGAATGAACTTAAGGATGATTGCCATGTTCACATCAATAGAAAAAAAGTGTTCAGATAAAAGAATGCTGTCAGTCGAGATTTAGAATCTAGTAACTGAAAATTACAACTCTATGACTAGGTAACAAAAAGTACTCAAACTGCAGCAAACAGAGGGAAAAAAAAGCTAACATTTAAGACTATTCCTACTGAACTACCTTCAAAAATAAAGGTGAAGTCAAGACCTTTGTGTGTGTGTGTGTGTCTTTTTTTTTTTTTATTTTTGGTTTTTCTCCGGTATCGGAACCGAACTCACGACCTTGCACTTGCCAGGCAGGCGCTTTGCCGCTGAGCTAAATCCCCAGCCCCCGTGTGTGTCTTTTTGAGACAGTTTCGCCATGGAGTTCAGGCTGGCCTCAAACTCGGTGATCCTCCTGCCTCAATCTAGAATTCTGGAATTATAGATGTGTGCCACCATGCCGGGCCGAAGTCACGACCTTTCAAGAGAAAATTCTTAGTGAGCTTCCCCCATCAAGTGAATCTCTTAAAGAGTTTAGTTTTCCTTGAAGTGGCAGAAGTCACTGCCAGCAGCATGTTAGAAATTCTAAAGCAAATACCCAGATAAGGTGGAAAAATCCTATTCTACACAATTAGGTTCCAGTGGAATGGAGGAAAAAATCAAGGAGCACAGGGTAGAGAAAATCGATCTAAGTTTCTAGCACAAATGGGATAATAAAAATAATTTGGATTAAGCTGTAATAATTCAAGAATGAATTAGGAAGAACACAGAAAGAATAATGAAATCATCTAGTAAGATCGCAAAAGAGAAGAAAAAAATTCGAGGGCCTGCGGTACAGGCAGCTCAAACGGCAGAGTGCTACAAGAGGCCACCGGGCTCAGGGCTCACCACCAGGAACAGATGACAACACTGGATTAATTAGAAGTAAGATGCCACTACCGAAGGCACTTCAAGCAAATAGAAAGTACACAGGGCTGCTCTGTACTATTTCTGTAACTCACATGAATCTAGTTATTTTAAAACAAACATAAGCCAGGTGTGGTGGCACACTGTTGTGAGTTCGAGACTAGCCTGGGTTACAAAGTGAGCTCCAGGCCAGCCTGAACTGCATAGCGAGACCCTGTCTCAAAAAAGGACGAAAACAAAAAACAAAAACAAACATATGCCAAAGGTTTAAAGTCCACTGAAGGCCACACAAGTATCAAGGAGTAGGTAAGAGATAAAATCCTGGTTTGCAGACTCAGGTATAAGGCGGAAGTGGTATTTAATAGCCAGCTGTTCACACACAGGTCACTGTACTTCCTCACACACTAAGGGATCTGGTTCTGTGAAGACAGGAGCCAACTTCAGCTAAGTTTGAAAGGGTCTTTGTTTACACGCACTCTCCTGGTCTCCCTTTATACTCGTGTTTCCAGGCAGCAGAGCTGAGTTCACAGCGAGGGCACCGGGGCCAGCCTGCTACCAAGGTGTAGAACCATGGTGTGGAAAGCAAGCCATGAAACTGGAGGAACAGTCTCCACCCCAGGGCTGGGGGGAAGACACGAAGTTTTCCCGTCAGCAACTGCACACAGCTGCAGCCGTGCATCTGTTGCCCTAGGAGCCCATGCTGCCAGCAGATTGCTGAGGGTACCAGGTACCCAGGACAAGGCAGCAGTGCACTTCCACTGCTGGTTCTCACACCTCTACTGCTGCCTCACCACACTGCACGGCATCAGCTTCCCTCACTCCCACCTCCACAGCCGGGGCCGAGGAAGGAGCTCATTGGGTATGGAGTAGAAATGGCGTAAGAGGAGGCAGCCTGCTGCAGAGCTCAGCATTCACCCAAGCCTGATGCTAGGAAAGTCCCTAGGGACACTGAGTGACGTAGTGAGGGCAGCACTTCAAAGTGGAAGACAGGGCAACCAGCAGACTAAAGCAGCAAACTCGAGTGAGAAGTTTAGGAAAAGATAAAACAGCAAAACTGAACCTCTAAACTGTAAGGCGGTTTGCTTATGGTAATGATTTAATGGATTTTTTTCCTTCTATTTCTGAGATAGGAGCTTGCTATATGGCACAGGTCGGCACAGAACAGGGTTACTTCCTGAGGCCAAGACCCTTAAGAAGTTCAAACCAG